GATGGGAGAACTCATGTGGAGAGTCTGACTTCATGCATTGGGCTGCTCTGCCTGTTCCTTTCCTTGGCTTGCCCCTGCCCCAGGACAGTTCATCCGCAATCTCTGCAGTGTCCGGTAGAGGGAGACCTCGCCACAGTCCACACAGACTGGTAGGGCCAAGAGAGAGCTCAAAAGATCAATCTGCCCTTAGGAGAAAATTGTAGAGGGGGAATAAGGTTTCAGAGGGGGTGCTCTCAGGTCTGTTAGGTACAAGGGATGGAAGTTAATGTCATTCTGGGGTGGTTTGGATCTGGTCTCCTTTTGGGGGGAACAGGAAAGAGAGTGTGGGGGAAGGCTTCTTGGAGTGTGAAAAAAACAAASTCACCATCGATTAGAAGGGAGTAGTGAGGAAGGAGAGGATGCTATGATTGCATTTCTCCTCAAACTCCAGTTTTTATTCCATTCCTGGTTTTCGGGTCTCCCGGGAGTGAGGGTGGGGTGGGGCGGGGTGGGGTGGAGAACGGCCGGGAGCGGGCCGGCCTGCGCGGTGGGTGATCCTTGGATGCTGGGATTTAGGGTGAGGGCGGGGTAAAATGGGGAGTGGAACCCGGACCCTACGACCTGCCCGAGCCCTGCAGCCTGGGCTGTACCCTTCTAAACTCCTCCTTTTACAGCTGAGATCCCGATTCCGCACCCAAGACCTCCCAACTCGACCTTGGCACTAATGTTAGGAGCGGGGGGCACAGCTGGCTGGCAGCTGGAAGAGGGGGGCACTTCTCCCGCCTCCTTCCACTATGACTCACCCAGGGAAAGGAAGATGGCTTGCAAACGACCCCCCAACACTAGAAAGATCCCCCCAAACGTGCCTTCTGTTATCTTCCTGTCCTAATACCAAGCTGCCGAGAAGATGCGATGGAACTGGGRTGACATCCCTCTTCGCCCACGCGTGCAACAGCCAACCCACGCCTCCCCTTCACACTATAAAAGGAAAATGTCGCTAACTTTTCCAGTTTCAGTAGTTTTTTCTGGGGAATGGGTGATAATGTGGGATGGGCAGGGAATCCTAAGGTTCCTCTGCCAGAGCCCTAAATCATCTTCGGTGTCTCCCTATTTTCTAGTGTCCTCTTAGTACCCCAACTCCCAGGAGTCGGCCCCGCCCCCTTCTCCTGGTCCCGCCCTCCCCGCCCCCGTGCCTCCCCGGCCCACCCAAGTCGCCGCCGCAGGCTCCGGCTGCAGACGGCTCCGCTTCCCCCGCCCGCCCGGGGAGCCCAGTCGAGCAAGGAGTTAGTGGCGGGCGGCGGCGGGGGAGGGGGGGCGGGACACATTCTTCCCTTCTCCCCTCAGCGCATCCAGAAAGCTGACAGAGTGCTCTGGGATGGGGGGCATTATTGGAAAGCAGGGATCTCAGTGTGGTAGGTTGAGAAAGAAAGATGAATCCAGTTAACCAAAGCGCGAGAAAATGACTGGGTAAAATACATCTATGCGGAGGAGGTTCCCGGGTACGTCTTATGTTCCCGGGTATCACGGCTGGCTTCTTAAGGGTTAACCCTTCCAGACCCCCGGGAACCCCCTAGTGACGTCAAGGGCGGGGTCTGAGTCCTCGGGCGGGGATGCCCTGGAGATAATGAGGGGGGGGGTCCTCTGGACCCCGCCCCCTAGGGAAAACCACCCTATTCTGGCTCTTATTTCTCCCCCAAGAAATCTCCCAGCCTTCTTCCTCTATTGGAAGGAAWGATCCATCCCATTAAGACCCCAGTTCTTCAGTCCCCTAAAACCCTCAGTCTCTACGGGGTCCCTTTTCCCTAATCCTGTCCCTAAAGCTAGCTGCCCAGGGCTAATTGTTTCGGGGTCATGGGGCCTGAAAGAGGCTTCAGAGCGGGGAGTAAGGGCAGGCAGGGTGGTCTGAGCCAGAGGAGGGGCCTTGGTCCCCAGCTCCTGTTTGGGAGGGCGACCAGCAGATATACACAGGCTGGCAGTGGCCAGTAGTTCCGCCCAGCCCCAGTAGGGTCTCCCTGCGGGTGGCTCTAGCTGTCCTGGTGGTCCCGAGGTCAGAGGGTCAAGACAAGGTCTCCCCATCTCCTCCCAGAGCAGTGCCCACAGCCCRTGGGACTCAGGAGTCCAAAAATGCTTGGGATTTGTCTAAGGCCTAGACTACACCTTGGACATTCCCTCCCTAGTCCCGAATGCATTCCTTTCCCCCAAAACTCAAGCATCCGCGGGCACATCTGTCACTAGACAGGTCTAGGGTCCAAGGCCAGTGGTTTTGTTGCCTCTCACACACACACCCTATCCCCACCCCACCTAGAGCTCCCTCCTTTGCTGTCAGTCCCCTCCTCTTAGAAACACTGACGTCTTCCAGCCCGGCGCTCAGAGACACACCTGGAGTTCCCTCTYTACCACGCAGACCTCCAACTGGCCGTCCCAACAGTCTCTTCATCCCAACCTCAAGAAAGGAAGATGTTTCTAATATTGTGTGAGAGGCAGAGATAGACAAAGAGACCCACGGTTGCCTGAGACAGACACACAGACAGTCAGGGGAAAAAGAGCAGATAGAAAAGGAGACACAAATGAAAAATTTCTCCAAACTTTCTAATATCCTTTCCCAGTCTCTCCCACCCCATTTTGTCTCTCTGCCCCAGGTCTCCCTCACGGCTGGGAAGAGTCCTTCGGCAGCAGAGCATCCCCTTTGGATCCCCTCCCCCACCGCTCCCAGGTGGTCCCCCGCCTGCCCCCCTTCTCACCTCCGTCTGGGCGCAGGGCTCGGGATGCACGGTCCAGGGCTAGTCTGGGCTGGGGGGTGTGCGGTGGGGAGGGGGGGTGGACAGGGCCACGGCAGCGCAGCCTCAGTGCCACCCCACCCCCCCAACCTGGCCCCCAGCCCTCCCGCCGGCCCAGCCCGCCGGGCCGCAAGCCGGGACCACCCGCGAGAAGCGCAAACTTTTTTTTTCCTTTTGCAAAAACTTTTTCTTGCTTTAGCCGCTGGCGCGCCGCCGCTCTTCCCGCTCACCCCTCACCTCCCTCCTATTTCTCTCCCTTTTGCTGTTCTGGTAGATGAGGTGGGGTGGCTGGAAGCGAGTGAGGGGGTGCCGGGCTTATTGCACCCCCAGGACCCCCAGGATCCTCCCCCTCCCTAGAGGGACCCTATACTGCCTAACACCCCCCCCCGCCCGGTTTAACACGCTGCTGGTGGTTGGCAGGAAATTCCGGAATGGATTCTAGGATCAGTCGTCAATGAGGAGTCCCTGAACCAGAGCCAGGAATACACTGAGAAAAATACTGCGGAGCGAGGAAAGAARGGAGAGAAGTTCATACGAGAAAGATAATATTGGAAGGTAGGGTCGTGGACTTTTGTTGGTGTTAACTGAATATTCTATCACCCTCTAGTTTATCTGCCAATCTCATTCTTTGGATGGAACTTTGAGGGGTTGGGATAGAGCTAGGATTTGAGCAAACTGAATTGAGAGTTTGTCGTTTGTCGGCTGTGGCGGAAGGTTAGGGATCTAGGGAGCCTAAAAGAGAGAAACACTGACTGGAGCTCTGGATTCGGGGTGTGTATTCACAAGGTCACTAAGGAATCCTGGGTCTAAAGCCCTTTCCCTAGGTTCCCTTCACTCCAACTTCTAAAGTCTGCCGCCACCTCCGCAACTCTCCCCACTGCGGACTTTCTGCTCTTTCAGGCTTTCTGCTCCCTCTGCTGGCCGTTCTGGCACTTGACACCATCTTGGAGTCCKGGAAAAGGCAGGCACGCTGGAGCTAAAGCTTTGACAGATCTCCCACCACCACCACCACCACCACAACCACGAAAACCCAGTTAGGATCCCGGAGAGGGGGATGTATGAGCCCAATGAAATGGAGGGCACACATGCGAGGCTGTTAACGCCTAGCGGTTGTGCCTGACGAGGGGTGCCCTGTCCCTTTGGATTTGTGTTGCCATAGTGACTGTATTCAGGGATGGGGCCAGCTATTTCAGTCTCTGGTCTTTCTGATAAAGAAGAGAAAGCATGATGGCGGAAAGGAGACCCTTCCCCTTAATGTCATCTCTCAGACAGACCTCCCACATCCTAGCTATGTCTCCAAGGACCACTTTCTTAAGTCTGGAAGGACAGTGGGTTAACAGTTCTATCAGAATCAAGGGGGGAAAGAAAAGGTGAAGCTAGGGGCAGGCCAGAGGTCCTACAACAGGGTAGTGATTCTGTGGGTGGGGACGTATAGGGAACACTGTTTGAGTCTGCCTCCCCACATGACTGACTCAAACCACTTACACATAGAAGGTCATGGACCTTCACCCTGCACCCAATTCAGTCAGGCTGACCAGTGGTCATTGAAAAAGAAGGGACACAACATATGCTCCCTTCCCAGATGCCTGCCCCTTCTTCCAGAGGAGCTCTTTTAGAACACACTATAGATCAGCAATTCTTAAACTTTTTTATGTTTTAAGACCTCTCTATGCTCTTCAAAATTATTGAGCTTTTTTTTTTGCATGAGATCTAGATCTATCAATTTATCATATTAGAAATTAAAACAAAAAATTATAACACAAGAATACACAAGTTCACATTCCATTAAGAATAATGTTAGAAAGATGATGTAATTGCTTGTCACACTCTGGAAAACTCCATTGTACAATTTTGAGATAATGAGAATAAAAAAGACAAATAACATCTTAATATTATGCGAACAGTTTTGGCTTTTGGAAACCCTGAAAGGGTCTCAGGGTCCTCCTTGAGGTCCCCACATCACACTAACTATTACTCTGGACCATCACCTCGGCCCTTCTTCATGACTCACATTTGTTGATTTGCTTTCTCTCTTTTATTAAGAAAGTATAAGCTGGACATGGTGGCACACACCTGTAATCCAGTGGCTTGGGAGGCTGAGGCAAGAGGATCATAAGTTCAAAGCCAGCCTAAGCAATTTAGAAAGACCCTGTCTCAAAATTAAAAAATAAGAAAGGGCTGGGGATGTGGCTCATAGTTAAGAGCCCTGGGTTTAATCCCTGGTAACGAAAAAAAAAAAAAAAAAAAAAGAATAAATGTTTGTGTTTCCCCAGGGAAAATCAGAGAATTTCTTAGGCTCAGCACCCTTTTTTCCTGATTCCTGCTTCTGGAGTTTTCCTAAACACCTTCCCTTGGCACCTTGTTCATCTCCCTCTTGACCCTCCCTTAAAGCACTCAACAATCCCTACCCTTGGCCAGCCCATTTGCCCTGTCCCAAGCTTGCTGAAACTTCTGCTTCCTCCCTTTCTTGAGGACTTACTCTTCTTGGGAGATACTAAGTAATTTTCTCTGCCTTCTCCTTCCCTCTCTTCCCTGCTAGCCCCTGCCATCTTCTCACTTGGGGTAGAAAATCATACTGCCTGGGTAGTCCCCTTAGAGGAAATACTTTACCCATTTGTCCACATATCAACCAGCCTGAAAAAGGCCAAAAGTCTGGGACAAGAAAGTGTRCATTTGGGTCACATAGGGGTCAACCCTGACATAGTGCCAGGTGGTCTTGTTGGGTGGAGGTGCGGATCAGGAAACCTGATGCCTCCAGACACAGATGCCCTTTACCTGGGAACCCCCAACTTGATATCTTCTATCTGAACCCCCAGGTCCTCTTGCTAGCTACAACCACAAGCCTCCACCACCATATCTGGCACATCCGTCTTGACCACATTGCCATTATGGTCAAGGTAGAGGAGAGAGAGAGGCCTTCGGGCAGTAGGGACACAACAGGAAGTACCCTCAGGCCAAGGATTGTTGGCTTTAAGGAGGCTGAAGACAGCAGAATGGAATGAAGCAGCAATGCCAGGGCTGCCAGCCAGGTGGGGTGGGCACTGCCCACTGCAGTAATTCAGCTGGTAACCTTCAGGCTGCAGGATCCAGTCTCGCCATCCCAGTTCCTGAAAGTCTACATAATGATCTCGCCTACAACATAAGGGGGTCTCAGGCTCACAGGTGGGAGTCCTCCTCTTGGCCCGGCCTGCTTCAGGCTCGTTGACACGAATCTTAAGCTCCAGGAAGGGCTGCTGGTGTCCCGTAGTGTCCAGTAGCCACCTCAGTGGTCCAGTAATTGTCTTGTTGCCTTCCAGGGATCTGCAGTTCAGTTGGAGTTTCAATACAGCAGATTCCTCACCTCTCAAGCCACTAGAGGGCAGAGTAAGGGCATGCCAGCCTGGGGTAGTGATTTGGTGCTCTGCCAGGAGGGTCCGGGATCCTCTGTGCTTCCTCCTTGGGCCCCATCGGAAGATCCTCAGGTGAAGAGTGCCAGGAAAGGTTCGGAGCACATGCAGCCAGAGACGGGCATGGTATAGGTGGTGGGACTGAACAGTGGACAGGTGGAAGGTGAGCATGGAGCTGCAGATTGAAGTGGAGGAGTCTGCCCAGAAGACAGTTAACATGTGAGCAGAGATAAAACTCTCTCTGAAGCTCCTACCCACTGCTCTCCCTCATGCTCATGCCTTGTGTCTTAACAACCATTCCCTGCCCTAGCTCCTCCGTCTGCTGCCACACCCCACTCCCTCTGCCTTGCTTTCAGTCTTCCCTTCTCTCTCCCTTTCTTTGTCTGCYCTCCACCTATGTCTTTTCTCACCCACCTGTGATGGTAGCAAAGCTGATGACCTCCTCCCCATTCCCTGGAGCCACAATCCCAGGCTGTAGTCTCCGAAGGGCTCTGGTCAGCGCTGCCTGGGGTGGAGGATGAATTATTCTAGGACGACTGGTCAGGTGCAGCCCCTCCAGGATTTGTTGCTTGGCTAGCTCCAGGACCAGAGCTCGTTCTGCTTGGGGTGCCAATGTTGGGCTCTCACAGGAGGTGCATGCAGATCTTGTGCCCTGTGCCCATATTAGTACCCACAGCAGCACCAGCCAGAGCTGGACATCTGGGAGCCCCACGCTCCTGGTGGATGACCCTGGGTCGGGAGCCTTGGATGGCAGTTGCTCGTCTATTGAGTCTGATTGCATGGAGGCCAGTAAGGGCTCAGCAGCGGCAAACACCAGTGCCACAGCTATCCTTGATCAAAGGTAGGGCTACTTGTCTTCTGTGGCCTGGGACTCAGGAAGGCTGTAAATGGATCGTCCGATGGGTAGCTGTTTGACCCAAACAGTTCATGGTCTGGCTACTGACCTGGGGCCTCTTTAGAGCCAGCTGCCTGGGGCTTCCTCACCTAGTGGTCAGCCAGCAGACCTACCTTCTGAACCTTAGGATTGGCCAGCTGTGCTGCCCATCAGGTTCCTGCAAGGGGTGAAGGTCCCCCCTGGGGCTCGGGTTTCACCATCTGGCTGTGGTGGCTTGAGGCAGGGGCATGGTAGGGCGGGGGGACAACGTGGACACACATGATGCAAGAAAGAGGATGATTTCACATACTCAGTTCCCAAGGTCTGGGACTCAGAGGAGGGACTCCATATAAGCCAGGTGGCCAGRTGGGGAAGGGCAGTTTTCCCCCAGTTCAGTCTTTACTTTTCCCAGTCACCACTCCTGCAGCAATTTCTGTGAGGCAGCTATTAGTTCCAGTGTTTATTTCTCTGGGATCTCTGGTCCAGAAGGATTATGGTCTATTTCTAGAACTTGGGACTGGGACAGGGGTGAGGGGTTAGGGGGTGGTAGGAGAACGGAGTCCTTCTGTTCAAGCTAAGGTGGCAGAGCCACGGGACATAGAAATCACCCCCTGACCCTGCCTGTGCTGTCCGCCCAGAGTCCAATTGGACTGGTGTACAATGTGGAGGAGGGCCAGAACAAGGTGTGGGGGACGTGCTACTGTGATGTCTGGGGAAACCCAGAGAGGTGGGGGTGGTAGTGATGCAACCTTACAGCAGGGCAGAGTCCATCAAGGCTGGCAGAAGGGCATGCGACTTGGAAGGGCCTGTACCCAACTGCTGCTTCTCTTTCAGGGTGCTATAAGARTTTCCTAGTTTTGAGGCATCCTAGAAGTGGTGTGAGGCCTCTGTAAATGGAGTTAGGAAATGGGAAGTTTAAGAGGTTTTGAGAATAAAGCAAGAGAGTACACCAACCTTAGTTCCCAGTCTCAGCCCTCCTTACTATACACTTCACTGATTTTTTAAAAATTTCTTTCAAGATAAAGTTTTGCTATGTCACCTAGACTGGCTTTGTACTCCTGGGCTCAAGTGATCTTCCTGCTTCAGCCTACTGAGTAGCTTGGATTATAGGTATATGTCACCTGCCTAGTCTTCAAGGACTTTAAATAGGAGTAGAAAGAACCTTTAATAGGATGGGCCTCCGGCTAGCTTTTCTCAGTCTGCCCCAGTTTCTWCAAGAAGCTGGGGGAGGTAGCAAGGAGAAAACTGTTGGGAAGGTAGTGTGATTTGGAAATGTGTCCCTATACCACTTATTCTTCTTCCTGCTGTTCAGTTGGTGGAGCTGTCAAGAGCCATCAAAAGGGGGTCCCATCTTGGGGGCTGGGCCTCAATACCACCAGTGTCCACTATGTGGCAGTGCTGTGCCACTGGACAGCAGCTGGCTTCTAGATGACCAGAGCTTCCCAGGGACTGAAAAGGGACTGCTGTTGGGAATCAAGAGATTGGGAGTGTGCCTTACCCTCACCCTCTGGGACCCTGCCTYCCCCACAGGGGTCAGGGAAGAGCTGGTTCCTCTACTATTCCCCCTCACCACTGCCAGAGAGCAGAGGCTATCCTCAGGGATGCATCACTGCCACCTTTGATTTTAGACCTCATCATACTGACAACATGGCAATGGAGCACAATGTCTGGTGCAAGGCTCTTCTTTGGAACTTAGGGCACCATATGGAAAGGAGACAAAAGAAGGGACAATAAAATTCCTACATGCTCCTGTGCACACTGCATTTCTCTCCAGGCCCTGAAACATTCAAGTCCTTTGCTAGTATTTTCTCAAGCTCCTAATTCCCTTTCTGTTGGTTGCTGTAGGTGAGTTACAGCCCTCTAGTCCCTGAGACTTGAAATACGAGATTGCAAAGTGGAGTTGTCTGTCCATGGTGGTGCCTGGGGGGACTTACCTGTTTGTGCCAGGAAACAGAGTCATGGGAAGTAGCAAGAAATGGCTGCAGGAGTTACTGATCCTGACTCTCCACACCCTGTCAGGTGCCCCCAATTTCCAGCTCTTCCCACCCTCTTGCTGTTACGCCTGGCCTGGCCCTACCTCCCCACTGACACTTACGTCAGAACTCAGCTATAAATACGCTCTTAGCATCTTAGTCACTTTTCCCAAGAAGTGCTCCGGGGTTATAAATACCCCAGCCATCTGCCTCACTGCCCGCCCTACCACCAACCTGGTTGGGGGCTGGGGGTAGCGACAGGCTTGGGGGTGGGTAAGGAAGTAGCAGAAGCAGGAGTACTTGTCTTGCCCAAATGAGAACAGCCTAAAAGAGTTAGGAGGTAAGGGCTACGAGGCTCAGGAAGAAAATGTTGGAAGAAGACAGACCTATTCTTTCCCCTTTTTACATAAAGCAGAACCAAAAAAAAAAAAAAAGGAATGATATGGATCCTGTGTTTATTTAAAAATATGCTATTTTGTTCATCATGGATTTTTTTTGCATTAATTTTGACATTTAAAAAACATTGCAGCCAAGCGCAAGTGGAACATGCCTGTAATCCCAGTGGCTCGGGAGGTTGAGACAAAAGGATCGTGGGTTCAAAGTAATTCTCAGCAAAAGTGAAGTGCTAAGCAACTCAGCGAGACCTTGTCTCTAAAAAAAAATATAAAATAGGGCTGGGGATGTGGCTTGGTGGTAGAGTACCCCTGAGTTTAATCCCTGGTATCCCTCCCAAAATATTGCATTAAAATATTGCTTATACTGATTGATGAATTTTTTGCCCACTCCTTAAAATTTTGGCTCCAGGGTGAGTGCCCCCTTACTTTACCTTACTCTAGTCTCAGTTTTGGGGATTGAAGGAAAGGAGATTAGATCTGGGACAGGGATGAACTAGAGAGACACTGATAGAAAGAAGGAGATATACCAGAAGACCTCCTCAGATGAAGGTCTCAACTCAAAGGTGGGATGACTTTCATGGGTTACTCAGGAAGCCCTACAGCTCAGATGTGCAGTTCCCCCAGGAGGTCTCTCTCAGACTTTCTCCTCTAGTATTTCTATTCCGGGGACCTCTTACCCTGATRGGAGGGGGTTATAAGCTGAGCAAACACAGACATCACGTTCCCCAAAGGACACATGGGATTTGCGCAAACCTGGCCTTGGGCTGCAGACGATATCGACCCCATGGTTCAGGGCTGTCCAGCCAAAGAGAGGAGATGGTGGGGGAAGAAGGGCAAAGGTCTAAAGAGGACCTAGTCTCTGAGCAAATGCCACCCTCTCCTTATCCCAGGTCTTCCTCTTCTCCCACTCAAAAGACCCTTGCCAGTTGCAGCTTCTAGGCAGGACTCCTGGATGGAGCCCTGGGGGTGGATGAAAGGAAGACAAGCCAAAGGTCCGCCTCCCACCATGTGTGTGCCCACAGAGTGTCAGCTTGCTTGACTGATCATTGATCTGTCTCATCTCCTGGAGTGAGTATATAGAGAGGAAAGGAGCAGGCAAAATCTAGTTTGTTTGTTTTTTTAACATTTATTTAGAAGTGGTTGGACACAATACCTTTATTTTATTTCTTTATTTTTATGTGGTGCTGAGGATCGAACCCAGGGCTTCACACGTGCTAGACGTGCTAGACGAGCGCTCTACTGCTGAGCCTCAATCCCAGCCCCAAAATCTAGTTCTTTATTAGCCATGAGACCATCAAAGTATGGTTCTGGGAGGATGGAGGAGGCATCCTAGGAGAAGAGGAGGCAGGAAGTGTGAGATGGATACAATAGCTTAGCCCTGAGAAGTCCATGTAAAGAGAGAAAAGCAGGCAGGCAGGCTCTGTGTCATTTGGGGGTGTTAGGGTCCTAGCAGGAGATAGAGGACCCGCCCCCCCTCAACTGACTATGTCTGCTTCATCAAGAGGACTTAGTAGAGGAATTATATACAAAGCTACAGGCAGGGTTAAAGCAACCAGTGAGGRATGTTGAAACACCAGGGACTAAAAAGGGGGAAAGTCATCAGTGTCAACACAATGATATCAAAATCTAGGCAGAGCTGGAATCATGGAAGGTGTAGTCAGTTGGGAGCTACAGGGACACAACCCAGCCATAGTTACACAGAATCATAACATATAGATAAATAGGTAGCAGGAATGAGAAATAGTCTGACCTCCGTCTCCTCCTATCCCTTGGTCATCTGCCTGGGTCTCCCCTTGGTCAAACTCAGCAGGAAGCCAGAAGGTGTGGGAGCTCAGGTGAGTCAGTCTTCAAGGGCACAGTGCAGGGCAGAAAAAAACAAAGAATGGATGTGAGTGTGCAGAGAGCATTAGCAACACACTTAGGCAAGGGCCTCAATACACAGAGGGCGTATGTGTCACTTTGGAGAACAATAATCTAATCTTTGGTGAATCCAAGGAAGGGGCTTTTTGGAGAATCAGAAAAATCAGAGGGAGTGACTGGGTCAACTGCCCTGGAATGGGGACCATCGAGTGGAAAGGGCAGTTGATCCAGTCATCTGTGAAGGCATAGTTGATAACGGGGTTGATTAAGGGTGAATTTTGCCTGGAAACTTGAAGGCACTGCTCATGGTTGGAGGTGGATCAGAGTCCCTGGTATGGGGTTTGAGCATGAGAGACTTGTTGAAAAGATGATGCCTTAGGAGAGAGGTTATGAGGATAGTATAGTGATTCTTCCTAGATGCAGATCTCAAGTCCAAGGTGGGACAATTTCCAAAAGTTGCTCAGGAAGATGCAGTCCACATTCTAGACAGAGGCAGGAATGGAATCATTCCCTCTTTGAGGAAGGGCACCTCTGTGAGGGATATTTGTTCATTTCACAAAGACTAACTGCACCCACAGGCCTCTACCACCATGTCAGGTATGTCGGTCTTGACAATGTTGCTGTCCCTGTCATAGTAGAGCAAAGACAGGGGACGCCGGGCTGTGGGCACACAGCATGAACCCCCTCCAGCAGTTCCAGTAGCTGTGTTGGCTTTGAGCAGACTGAGCACTGCAGTGTGAAAGGAGGCAGCAATGCCAGGCATCCCTGCCACATGTAGTGGGCACTGCCCTGTGCAGAAGTTCATTGCATAGCCCTCRGGCTGGATGATCCAGTCGTGCCAGCCAATCTCACGGAAGTCTACAAAGAACTCTTGTCGACAGCACATCCTGGATCCTCCCTGACAGTCGATGCCTCGTCTGCGAACCCGGTGCTTGCCCCCAACTCTTACCCGGGCTGACACAAAAGGCCTATGGGCAGCTCCATCCAGGATGATTGAGTTGGGGGCTACCTGGCCTTCAGGTACTAGTTCTAGGGTAAGGTGCCCTTGGCTACAGGCAGCTTGAGCTTCAGGCCCCARGAGGAGCTGGTGCCAGCCAGTGGTATCCATCTCTAGCAGCTGCTGAGTAGCCAAGGTGAGGTTGGGATCACGTGGATTCAACACAAGGACCCTCATGTTCATAGTCCAAGTGGTATTGGGAGGGAGCTGTATAAAGAACATGAGGCTGGCCTGCTGGATCTCCATGCCACCAGAAGTTCTATCAGGGAAGTGGAAACTAAGACGAGTCTGGTTGATGTTGGAGAGGCCTGTGGACACAAGAAGTCCCAGTCATTATAGCTTTCTAATTGTCAATCCTACCTCTCAATTACCTCTCTATTTCCAGCATACTTGAACTCTCTGTAGCACTTGGCATTTGCTATGATTTGAATGTGTCCTCTAAAGTTAGTATGTTAGAACTTTGATCCCTAATGTGGTAATGTTGGGAGGTGGGGCCTATTGAGAGGGATTTGAGTCATGGAGATCAAATCCCTCATGAATTGATTAATGCCCTTATCAGAGGAATGGGTTTCTTATAAAAGATCAAGGTCATGATTCCCTCCCCCAAATTGCCTTCTCTTTGCCAGTTGCTGGCCCTTTGATTTTTGAACTTCCCAGCCTCCAGAACAATGAGCTAATAAATGTGTGTTCATTATAAATTACCCCATTTGTGGTATTCTTTATAGCAGCACAAAAGGGGCTAAGAGAATTGGCAATGAGAGTGGGATGGTACTATAACAAATACCTGAAAATGTGGGAGTGGCATTGGAGCCTGGTACAAAGAATTTGGAGAGGCACACTAAAAAAGACCTAGATTTCCCAGAACAGAGTTTTAAAGTCAAAAGAGAGGGCTCTAAATAAAAGGAGGGGGGAKTGTGATATTTCTTAAGAGATTACCTAAGTGCTCATGATCAAAATGTTGGTAGAAATATGGAAAGGAAAGGCAATTCTGATGAGGTGTCAGATGGAAATAAGGACTATTTTACTGGAAACTGGAGTCAAGATAATCCTTATTGCAAGGTGGCAAAAAGTTGGACTGTATTGTGTCCACATTCTATGGGTTTATGGAAGGCAGAAATTAAGAGTGATGAACTCTTTTTTTTTTTTTTTTGTGGTGCTGGGGTTTGAACCCAGGGTCTTGTGCATGCTAGGCAAGCACTCTACCAACTGAGCTATATCCCCAGCCCAAGAGTGATGAACTCTTAAGAGTGATTTGGCAGAAGAAATTTCTAAGCAAAATACTGAAGATCAAGATGTGCAGCTTGGGGCTGGGGATGTGGCTCAAGCAGTAGCACGCTGGCCTGGCATGCGTGCGGCCTGGGTTCGATCCTCAGCACCACATACAAAAGATGTTGTGTCMGCCGAAAACTAAAAAATAAATTAAAAAAAAAAGATGCACAGCTTTTAAAAGTTGTATACAGTAAAATGAGAAAGAAATTATTTAAAGATAGAATCTATAATCAAAAGGAAACAGGACATAGAGATTTGGAAAATCCCTAGCCTGACCACGTAAAGAATAAAAAGGCAGCCCGACATAGTGGCTTATGCTTGTAACCACAGATTCTTGGAAGGCGGAGGCGGGAAGATCGCAAGTTCAAGGCAGCCTGTGCAATTTAGCAAGATCCTGTTGCAAAATAAAATTTAAAAACTAAGCCTGGCGTGGTGGTACACATCTATAATCCCAGCAGCTCGGGAGCTGAGGCAGGAGGACTGCAAGTTTGGAGCTAGCTTTAGCAACTTAGCAAGGCCCTAAGCAATTCTGTGAGACCCTGTCTCTAATAAAATACAAAAAGGGGCTGGAATGTGGCTCAGTGGTTAAGTGCCCCAGGTACAAAATAAAAAAAAATAAAAAAATAGAACTCAGTGGTAGTTGGGGTTTGCCTAGCAAGTACAAGGTCCTGGGTTCAATCCCTGGTACTGGGAGGAAGAAATAAAGACTCCATAAGGCTGGCGGTACAGCTCAATGGTAGAGGACTTACTTACCTAGTGAGGGCAAAGCCCTGGATATGATTGCCACCACCATAAAAAAKGTTCAGTTTGGGGCTAGCATATTAAATTAATAAATAACTGAAGAAGAAATTCCTATTAGAAGTGGGATGCTACCATAACAAAAATCTGAAATACTGGCCTTGGGACTGAGTGTTAGGCAGAGGTTAAAGGAYAAGAAAGAGATTATTAGTGAAGGTAGCAAGAACCATGAAGAAATTGCTGTTGAAAGCTCGAGAGAGAGGAACCTGAGTTCTGTATTGGCTATCACCTATGGTAACTTGGAAGCCAGAAACAATATCTAACAAACTTGTGAATTTAGCTAGAGATATTTCCAGGCAGAATCCTGAAAATGCCAATTAGCTTATTTTAGCTGCCTATGATAAGGCATTTCAGGAGAGAGATGAACTAAAAAAGGAACTGTTCAATTTTCTAGCAGAATTTAGAAAAATATTTCTCAAAGTACTTGCTAGGTTGAAAATTAAAACTCTTTTTTTCTCCATCCCTTCTCTGACAAAAGGTTCTCAAAATAAGAAGTGACCTCAGTATAAAATCCAAATCCAGGGCACTACCAGTTAAACATGGTCTCAGAGTAAAGATATGAATCAATAAAATGTCAGCTGTAAAACCTTGGGTTAAGATCTAACATCTTATTGAGATCTAGAATTTAAGGTGATGTTCTGTAGACTCTCCCAACTAGACAAAAGGTCTTCTAAGAATCTTCAGGGTGTTGTTCCACAACACTAACTTTGGTCTGTTTGTCTTAATAGAGCAGGGTGCCTTTTGTCTAGATGGGTAGACTACAATTTATTATTTTATTTTATTTTATTTTTTGAGAAAAAAGAAATAAATGATTTATTGCTTTGTTAGTAAAGGAGAAACACAGGGGACTTCTGTCCCAATA